GTCTGTTAGGAGTCCTAATAGTCTATATATTGACTTTTATTGATTGCTATTGAATATAAGAGAGCTGTGCAGTAATAATTTTTCTTATGTTGCTTATTTCAATTGACTTTCTTCATCGTTCTTCTTGTTATTTTCTATTAGTGGTATCAAGAATCAGGTTTAATAATTTTTTTAAAAAAAATGTGAGAGAGAGTTCACCCAGAAATTCAGTATTCATCTATGGCTTTAGAGATAAACTTACTGCAAGCAGTCGTCCCTCATTTAAATGGATATGACCATGCGAGTATGCTAATGGAAAAATTTTTACGGTCAAAGGTGTATTGGCTGATTGTCGAGGATGGAATCGGCACTCTAGCGGATGGCAAAGCTTTGACGAATGCTCAAAAGACAGTTTGAATGAAGAAAGCAAAAAATTACGTCTTTGCTATTGAACGCCAATATTTGAAACTATTCTTTGCAAATAAAATTCCAAAGATATATGGGACTCCATGAAAAAAAAAAGTATCAAGGTAATATAAGAGTGAAGCGAGCACAACTTCAAGCTCGGAGGAGGGACTTAGAAACTTTGCAGATGAAGGAGGGTGAAATTATCAATAGCTTTTGTGCTAGAACCATGGAGATAAGCAACTAGATGTGATTTCATGGTGAGAAAAATGAACGATGTCACAATTGTTGAAAAGATATTGCTTTCCTTGTCACCAAAATTTGATTATGTTGTATGCTTGATTAAGGAGTCAAAAGACATAGATGCTTTGTCACTTGACGAATTGCAAAGCTCCTTGTTGGTGCATGAGAAAAAGATGAACTGAATTTCAACTTTTGAGGAGCAGGACTTTAACGCTTCTACTTTTATTTCTTCCCATTCGAGAGGAAGGGGTTGAGGTAGAGAAAGAGGGAGAGGAGATCGAGGAAATTAATGGGGATGATGACATCAAAGAGTGCAACAAGAATTTTAGAGTCAATAATATAAACAATGGCAAAGGCAGAGGAAAAGATTTTGACAAATCTGAGGTAGAATGTTATCCTTTCCATATATTTGGCCATTATTGTTATGAATGTCGTACTAGATTACCTAGTTATAAAGAAGAATAGTCAAATTTTTCTGAGAACAATGAAGGAGCAACCTTGTTAATAGCAATCCACGACGAAAATGGGCCTGAGGAGCAAGCTCTTTGCTATGTGGATATTGGTTGCAGTCACCACATGATTGGAAATAAGTCTTCTTTCTCTAATTTAAATGAAAGCTTCCGTTTAACGGTTGATTTTGGTGATCTCTCCCTTGTGAATATAATAGGGAAGAGTAATGTCAATTTTAGAACAAAAAATGGGTGTGCGGAAAACATATCTAATGTGTTTTGATTTCTTGATTTAAAAAATAATTTATTGAGTTTTGCTCAATTGTTAGAAAAAGGATATGTCATCACCCTTAGGAACGATTGTTGCGAGATTTCTGATTCTTCTAGAGTTATCGCTATTGTGAAAATGAGTCATGACAGGTTGTTCCTTTTGATGATTGAAATAAATCTTGTTTTATAGTGAAAGTGAGAGAACCTTCATGGTTGTGGAATTTTTGATATGGTCATCTAAATTTTGGTGGTTTGAAGATCCTTCACAAGAAGAATATGGTAACGGGACTTCCTAAAATTGTTGTTCCTTCTCAAGTATGTGAAGAATGTGTTCTTGCAAACTACACTGGTCTCAATTACCGAAAGGCAAGTCATGGCGAGCAAAAGAGATGTTGGAGTTAGTTCACTCAGACATTTGTAGGACGATAAACATCGATCTCTAATGGAGGCAAAAGTTTTTTTATTGTCTTTATTGATGATTATTCTCGAAAGACTTGGGTATATTTTTCACTCGAAAAATCAAAGGCTTTAATGTATTTAAATATTTCAAAGCTCATGTTGAGAATGAGACAGAGAAGACCATAAAAAGCCTTCGAACAGATCGTGGAGGCGAATATTTCTCAAAGGCATTTGAAGAATTTTGTAAGTCCTGTGGCATTCCAAAAAAAAGATCACAACATAATATATACCTCAACAAAAGGTGTATTGGAGAGAAAGGACAACCATTCTTTACATGGCTCGAAGCTTGCTGGCTCAAGGAAGAGTTCCGAAGGCATTTTGACCTGATGCAACAAATTGGAGTATCCACATCTTAAGTTCTACTTTACTCTTTGAGATATCACACCAGAAAAGGCTTGGAGTGGAAGGAGACCGACTGTAGATCACTTCAAAAAATTTTGCTGCATCCTATGCACATGTCCCAGATGTAAAGAGAAAAAACTTGACGATAAACGCGTTAAGTGTGTCTTTGTTGGTCTTATAAAGAAGTCCAAGGCGTACAATCTATTTAATCCTCTGACAAAAAAGATAGTGACTAGTACATATATTGTTTTCGATGAAGACAATACTTGGAACTTGGATTAAAAGTTGTCTAGTCAAATTCTATGTGATAATGAATCTGAAGATGTAGCTCCAAGGTCTGAAATTCTAGAAACTGCTGCTACAACTGTTGAGGTTTTTCTACCTACAAAAGACCAAAGGATATATGAATGATTGTGGTGTGTATTACAAAGAGGTGTTTGCTCTAGTAGTCAGACTTGACACCATCTGGTTGGTGGTGGCACTAGCAATGCTAAACAACTGCCAATTTATCAATTGGACGTGAAATCAGCCTTCTTACATGGAGAATTGCAAGAACATGTGTATGTTGATCAACCCCCTGGTTACATTAAGTATGGCCGCGAACATAAAGTTTACAAATTGCGAAAAACATTATATGGGATAAATCAAGCTCCACGAGCTTGATATACTTATTTGAATAATACAGGTTATAAAAAATGTCCTTATGAGCATACACTTTATACTAAAAATAAAGACGGAAATCTTGTGATTGTGTGCTGACATGAAGATGATTTAATGTATACTGGAAATGATCATATATTGCTTAATGCAATTGATGAGGACCGAGATTGATATGTCGGATCATGGCATGATGCATTACTTTCTGTTGAAGTGAAGCAATCCTCTGGTGAAATTTTTATGTCACCACCCTAGTAGAAACGGGGCTGAAGCTTGAAAAAAACCCTATCGGAACAAGGATTGACAAAACTTTCTACAAGCAGATTGTGGGATGCTTGATGCATTTGACAGCGACTAGACCTGATATAATGTACTTTATAAGTTTAATAAGCAGGTATATGGAAAATCCAAGAGAAACTCACTTGATGGCTGCTAAAAGAATTCTTAGGTATTTACAAGGTATGAATGATCTTGGAATTTTGTACAGATTAGGAGGAAAATCATATTTAATTGGATTCACAGATAGTGAATTTGCTGGAGATAAAGATGATAGGAAAAACACGTATGGTTATGTTTTTATGTTTGGATCAGGTGCTATTTCATGGTGTTCCAAGAAGCAATCAATTGTTATGTTGTCAACTACAAAAGTAGAATTTATGGTTGTGTGCGCCACTCAAGCAATCTGGTGGAAGAATATTCTAGTTGAACTATGTCTTCTTCCGCAAAAGACAACTCTTATTTACTGTGATAACGATTCAGCGATTAAGCTTTCCAAAAATCGAGTTTTGCACGGGAGGAGCAAACACATTGATTTGAAATTTCATTTCCTGAAAGATCTCACAAGGGATAAGATCATTGATGTTGTCTACGGAAAAAGTGAACACCAAGCTGCTGATATTTTAACCAACCCTCTCAATCATGCAGAAGTAGTGAAGCTTCTTAATTACTAGGAAGCGGGAAGATTCTTAGTGTCTGTTAAGAGTCCTAGTAGTCGTGGGTTTATGGGTTTTATGAGTAACAGAAAACTCTTAGTAAAACTCTTAGAGAGTTGTGCGGTAATAATTTTTCTTTTGTTGAAACAAAAAAAAAGAAGTTATTCACATTGCTTCGTGCATGTGAATAAACAAGTTATGTACTTTCACTTTAATTAATCTATACTACAATTCATAAAATGACAGTGACTTCAATTTTCAATCAAATTCACTAGATTTCTTACTTTTTTCATCCAATGATTAATTAATGTAGCCGAAAATCATTTCATGAATTTTACGTACTTTAGGATGTAAATAACCCACTTACTACTTTATAAATGATTCATTTCCGGATAATAACATTTATTGAATCTCTATGCGATAGAAGCATGAAGTTTTAAAATTTATTTTAAGGTGTGATTGTATTATCAACATGTAATGATCCTTTAGTCACCTCAAGTTATTTATGACTTCATAGGACAGACAGTTCGATCATTGAATCGTTCATTTGAGTTTAACGCGAATTTTTCTCGCTATAGAAGTTCTTAAGCGAAAGGGGTGATTTTAGTCAGCATTGGAAATTCAGTTATCAAATGCGATTTTCGTCGTTCCATCAACTCCTAAGGCCAATTTGGGCTAGTGGCATGGTTCGTTTGGGCCTCGAGGCTTCCGATGCAAATTTATGTCATTAGGTGTTTCGTCTTTAATGTTTGACCAAAGTTTGACTTCGGTCAATATCTTTTACCAGCATTCTTGTTAAATGTACTTGGATGAGTTTTGCACTACATTCCCTTTTTATGTTATCCCAAAAATATGAATTTAACTTGTTGGAACTTCTAGACCTTTTTGAAATAAGACTCGAAGAGTTTAAATTCTCCTTTAAATATTTATTTTATATCAAACTCTTTCGTCGCAAAGACTTAAGTCCTTTTGTATTTTAGTTAGTTTTAGTTACATATATCTCTTTCTCCTCTACTTTCATAATTTTTTTTTTGATATGACGTGCTTCAAACATAGTTTTAGATAAACTAAGAGGTTCCTATATTAGTTTGCGTATTAATTCAAAAATAGTTGGAGACAATGGGTAATCATGAATATAAATGTCTTCAATAAATATCATTGCAAACTACAAAGTACAAGAATTAAATAGCATAATTCAAACAAATTAATAAATAACAAAAAAAATTAAGGAAAGGACTTTGATAAATATCTTAAGATAATTCGTCTAGAAGACATTTGGTGAGATATTTGCATCATCTGATGGAATTTGTGAGGAGGATGAAGCTCCATTTTCTAGCTGCTCCAAATGTTCGTTCAATTTAAATTCACCAGATATCAGCCATGCTTCCAACATCATTACATCATGTACATTCAATTGATCTATTGACTCCCACCAACCTAGATCTCTAGCCTCATTCATTCGATCTAATTTTTCATTTCCAATTTTTTCTCTTTCGTCCAATTAATTTAGAATATCATTAAATTGACTTACTTTTTTGCGTGTTTCTACAGCAACAAGACGGTCACTTGAACTTAAATTTGCTGTAGGATTTATAAAACGATCAATGACCACATTAGAGGTTGGACTACTAAAGGAATAAGGTATACCTTTCAGTGAAGACATAACAATTCCAAGATCTACATCACATTCTCTAACAAGTTCACAAGCTTTTTTGTATAAGCCAGAACGACGTTTAGAGAATTTGGTGAGTCTAGCAGATTCATTCTCTATTTTTGCCAATGAAATTTTTTGGCGTCCTGCTGTCTTCTTATGCTCCATACTAGAATATACTAAAATACGCTATTAGTTAATTCTCTCTTAAAAATATGTGTACTAAAAAGAGGAAATATCATGCATATTTATATACATAAATTTCACATTGGTCATTAAATTATTTGCCAAATATCCCAATAAAAGCAATTTTTTCTTAATACTTAAAGTTATTAAGGAAAATTTGTATTAATGTTATATTCCAAATTTTATTTTATAATAATATAAATTAATCTAAAAGTTAATTTAAATAGGTAAGTTGGCGTTTAATATTCTAGATGAAATTTATCAATTCGTTTAATTATTGTGTATATTTTACCAATACTAGAATCTTTTGGTTATTTTATAGTGACTAAAGCAAATTTTGCACCTGCTCAAATAAAAATATTTATACTATTTAACTTGAAAAGAAAAAATATATTAATGTACTCATAATTTAAAAATAATAGATCCCTCAAAAATAATGTTCATTTAAAAGAAATAAACCTGAATAAGTCAAACATTCAAACTAATAATTAGTGAATTTATAATGGTATGCGTAATTCATTTTATTATTTAATTTTTGCTGGTATCCGTAATTCATGTATTATTTAATTTTTGCATACTAAATATGTAATTTAAGTGTATTAGGTAGAAGAAGTTAATTATGCACACTTTTAATAGTGTTAAAAGTTTGTAAATTAACCCCGGTCTTTTGTGTTAAAGTTAGATCCTTTTATTTTATCAATTTTCAAACTTTTAAAGGGTAGATTGTTGTGAGGGATAACAACATATAGTCTCGGAATTAAAATGTGATGCCACTTAATTATTATTTTTTTGGGTTGTCCAATTCGAAAAAACTTATTATGTGATTAATAATTAATACCGGGATCATTTATCTTATCTATAGACTGTATAGACTGTATAGTAATCTCATCATATTTTATCATGGGATAAACTCACTAAATAACAAAATTACCCTTCATATTTTAAATTTGTTTTGTTGTATTTCAGTTTCCTTTATCCATGATAATTTCATGATTACTTTTAAATCTTTTTTAAGTTTTGTTGTTGTATTGTTTTCTAATGAATCAAAAGGCTTTTTAACAATCTTCATTATATTTCAATCATTTGTAATTATAACACATCGGATCTCCAAACGAAGAAAATTTGGTTCCAGTGTTAATGGAACGAACCACAGACCGTAGGTGGGGTTCCATCGTTAAGGTCCAAATCTTTATCGTCTTTGATCCCACCCTCAGTCAACCAGTACAGTCTGTGGTTGGACCTACGAATCGTATGACTGACCGTAGGTGAGGGTTAGCAGCCAGTTAGAGGGAAAGTGATGTTGTAGCAATTTCAAACGGTTGTAACTCTTTACATAAAAGAGATTAGGTGGAACATGATTTATCAAAAGAAAGATAATTGAATTTTCTTCCGAACGCCATCGTGTTTGCTAATTCCGTCTTTAAGTAAAATTTTTTGCTTATTTTAGTGAAGCCCTATCGAGAAGACTTAATGGATAACCCCTACCTATGGTTGGTAGGTCAACCCACGGATCGTAGGTCCTTCCGTGGGTGGACTTTGTCAGAATTAAGTCACGATCTCCTTTCCCCTATGCGTTGGGCTCTTACACTACGTCGTTTGATTCCTAAAGTACATAGTTTTGGTAAGTTTAAGCGTAGGAACTTAGTCAGATCTTGCCCTAAGCGATTCATTCACTAAAAATTCATCAAACTTAGGAGAAAAAAGGACAAAAGAGGCAAATCAAACACTTCCAAGAAGGAAGCAGGGTTCTTTAGTTCCAGCCCCGAAATCATAGGATTTCCCCATAGTTTTCGTCATCAGGTATATGGAATTTCACTAGTGGGTTCCTTTCATCTAGTAGGTCCCTAGAATTCAATAAGATTATTGATTCCCTTCATCATGTTTAGACTAGGGTTTCAATAACTTTGGAAAATCATTGTGCTTTAACTTTTATAGTTTTTTTATCAGATTATCATGTCTATGTAACATCGTTTCATAGTTGTTTGCAATGAACTCAGGACCCTAATTGTGTAGATTTATTTAGTTTATGAATTACACTAGCTATGTCAGATAACCAGATATACATGACTCAGATTTCGAATGTTTTAGTTTTAGTATTTAAAATGTTGCATTCTCAATTAACATGTCATAAAATTGAGCTATTCTAGTATATTTCAGTTATGTTATATTATATGCATTTATAGTTGAGAGTAGGCTTAACAACGAGTTGGACTAGGATTCAGTGTACCCATATAGTCCCAGAGTTACTTGCCCCAGTAGGCTTATAATTCCCCTCAGTTGGGCATTATAATTAGTGATCACACCAGTCATGCGTTTATACCATTGACAAGATATATTGGGTCCTATCGATGGGGCGTATAAATTAGAATCCATGTTTAACTCACGTTGTTTTATGTTGGTTAATAGTAGTTCCCACAATCAAACATTAGTCCTCTTGACCATGTTTTCAGTTTATACTTAGGTATTCAATCACCATGTCCTATCTATTATTTAGTACTTGCTCATTACGTTCAGTTTTTATAATAAACATGTTAGTATATAAATTCATATCCAGTTATATCATTGTTCAGTTATGTTATGTTCAGTTTATATGTTTGTTCAGATATATTATATATCTTGCATGTTCAATACATTCCCAAGTACTAAAGCATATTAGGTGCTACATCCTTTTATGAGGTAGGTTCAGGTACAACATCCATCTCATACATAGATCGATTCTTGGTATGTACTCAACAACTTCGGTAGTGAGTCATTAAACTTTGAGGAAAACATACATGTCTTTTCGTATTTAGTCTTTCATTTCAGTTTAACTTTTTCTAGGCTAATCTGGGGGCATGTCCCGACTACTTAAGTGAGTAGAGGATTTTTAGATATAGGATTAGATTCAGCTTTAGATTTGAGTTTGATATTGTAGATATTATTGAAATCTTAGTATATTTCATATATTCAGACTAGTTGGGTATTCCCCGTTTTCAATTACCACTGTTTTGGTTTCCGCACAATATCTTTTTATCCAGATTGTTTTAGTATGCTTATGATATGACAGCTTCAGGGTTTTTTGGGGGTCACTCGTGATACTAGGTCATGTTTTTACATCAAATGGGTAGTCTTGAGGCATGAAAACATGGTATCAAAACATTAGGTTCAAGAGTCATATGATGTCTGAAGCACTAAGTAAAGTCTCTTTCATGGGTGTGAAGTGCACCACATATAATGAGAGAGAGTTTACAAAGTGTTTTAGATAGAACTTTACATTCTGGCTATTATTATCGTGTGTGTGTGTGTATGATTTTCTTTCTAATTCGTCGTCATGTGTTTCAGATCATGTCTCCTTGTAAAGCTTACTTAAGAAATCCAAATGTACGCAATGCTAAAGTAGTTCCTACAGTCTCAGACCATGAGGTTTTGAATGTAGAGTTTTGGAATGTGATTCATCTTTTGGCTCAGAGTATGACTACTAACCAGAACAATTAGCACGTTCTAGTTTCTACTAATGCTAATGTTTGATCAGCAACAACAAAAGTTCAAGATTTTATTCGGATGAATCCGCCAGAGTTTATAGGGTCGCAGGTTGGTGAGGACCTACAAAACTTCATTGATAAGGTTAAGAAAATATTTAGAGTGATGCAAGTGACTGGTACTTATAGGGTAGAGTTGGAACCCTACTAGCTTAAGGATGTTTATCACGTATTGTACACTTAGTGGAAAGAAAACAAGAGTGTGGGTGAAGATCCTGTAACTGGCGACTGTTTTATTAGAGCGTTTCGTGACAAGTTCTTTCCAAGATAGTTGCGAGAGGCTAAATCTCACGAGTTAATGAATTTCAGACTAGGTTAAATGATAGTCAAAGAGTACAAACGTAAGTTCACCCAATCCATTTATATCATTGATCAATTCCATTTTGTTCAGTTTATATGTTTATTTAGATATATTTTATATCAGGCATGCTCAGTACATTCCATGTACTGACGCAGACAATATGCTACCTTCTTTCATGATGTAGGTCAATATACTCAATATTCAGATTATTCATAGATTGATTTCCGATCCGTACCAAGCAGCATCAGTGGTGAGTCTTCATACTTCGAGAATATCATACATATTTTACGTATTTAGTCTTTCATTTGAGTTTTAATTTTTTCTAGAGTTAGTTGGGGCATGTCCTAGCAACTTTAGTTAGTAAAGTCTTTTTCAGACATATTATTAAGTTCAGCTTTAGATTTGAGTTTGATATTTCAATTATTATTGAACTTTTAGTATATTTGATATATTCAATCTAGTTACATATTCCCCACTTTCAGTTACCACTATTTTAGATTATGCGTAGTATCTCTTTATTCAAATTAGTTTGGTATGCTTATGATATGTCAATTTCAGAGTTATCTTGGTGTCACTTGTTATCTTAGATCCCGTGTTTACATCAAGAGGATAGCTCGGGGCTTGTTAGTAATTGGGAACTTCTTCTATTTATCATCGTTGTTTTTCTACATGGAGTGCTTTAGTTTGAATGTAATGAAGATGTAATTCCTATTACTTTGTATCCAATTTCCACTCCCATTTGACTTTTCTTTGCTTTTGTTTTCTTTTGTGTTGTATATGATTATGATTGATTGTCTTACAAGCACAAGAATTTTTTTTTAATTTATTTGACCAATATTTTATTGTGTTGTAAAATTTAAGAACAAAAGAACAATATAAAGAGAAGAGAAAAAAAGAATATAAGACAAGAAGAATAATATAAGATAATTTTCTTTTTTTCGAGTGTTTGAGTGTTCACAAAATCATGAAGTGTGTATAATATGAACCTTTATTCCCCGATATATGCCTCTTTTTATAATTTGACAAATAGGCATATAAAAGGTTAGTCATAAACATGAATATAATGGAGGAGGTTATGAAGATGAAAGTTTACAAGAATAATGATCATAAAGACGGAGGTTATTTTCATAATGAAGGGAAGTAGTAACTTCTTGGTGTAGTGG